TATTTTACACAAGAAACTCTTGGCCACCTCTGCCCAGATAACTGTGAGATCGCCCGCCCGCCCCAGGACTGAAGGGCGAACATTTTAAAATGCGCGATCCACTACATTACTGTATGAATCTGAGATTGAAGTGCCAAGCCACAATTTAATAGTCCAGATAGAAATGTATGCCAATGTAAGATCAAATGGAAGAAGTCAAAGTTGACGCGTTTCGGGGGCCAGAGATTTCCCCCCTTTTTCCTTTTCATTGCGGCTCAGGGATTGGAAACTGGACGGAGTAAAGGAACCCATGCCAATTGGTATTTTAATCAGTGGAATATTAAAGCACAGTGTTCGTCAGCGGCTGGTTTAGGCGACCTCCACTACGCAACGTCACGCCAGCCAAGCGCTCGATGTAGGAAGCCGTGAACGGACACGAAGGGGGGGCGGAGCCTTCAGCCGTAGACCGAGGAGAGCGCCCGCTGTCTGTCCTCCCCATTGCTCTCCTGGCGTCTACACTCCCCCCAAGTGTTAATACCCCGGGCTGGCCCTTGTAAATAGCAGGCGGGCCCTTTTACCCGCTACTAAAGATCTTTCTGGGAACCGCCTGTGGCGACTTTGCGTCAGTCCCGATCTAACGTGCCTCACTTCAGTACATAACCTCATTTTGTATTTTAATTTTTGTTTTTCTTTTTATAACTCAGGTTATATTGCAGTATTTTGGTTTCTTTTTTGCTTGCCGACTCGTTTCTCTGCGCAGTTTATTCTGCACATTATTTTTTTTTTGTTTTGTCTTTTGTCACGGGCAGAAGCCACTTTAGACTTTCGGAATTAATAAAGTTATTCAAACACTTTTGCAGTTGTCGCCGCCGCCGCGGCGGGTGAAATGTTTCTTTGGAATGCTTGATCTGGAAGCTGATCTTAAACTGGGCCCAGAAGCCTCAACCTGACTTGGCTCCGGGCCCTGGTGCTGCGGTGCTGAAATTTTGAAGCAGTCGATGACCGGTGCCGTACACCGACATTAAAGTGACACCGTGAAGGGCATTCATCAAAATCTGGAGCAGCTGTACACGGCAACCAATCAGCTTCTCTCTTTCATTTTTAAACCTTAACTGAACAAACTGAAGAGAGAAGCTGATTGGTTGCCCCGTTCAGCTGCTCCAGATTTTGTCTGCTCCACTTTTCATAAATTCCCTCACCAGTATATTTGTTTATAATGCATCAAAAAAATGATATATACTCACACAGATGCAATAGATACGGACACGAGGGGCTGGGGCCCTCAACCCTTCTACATTGGGGAGTAGTGAGGAGAGTACAATGATTCCGGGAGCTCACATACTGCACAGGATATCCTCTAATAGGCTCTGAAAATGCCACTCGGAGCATAAAAATTCAACGGGAGCGACAGACCAAAGACGTTTTAATACATGGCCGTGCAAAACCCCCAGGAGCCAATGCGCATGAAAAATTACAGCCAAAGAAAAAGCTTTGCTTGGAAGGACTGGCCCCTGATTTATGTATTAACCCCTTCATGACTGAGCTAGTTTTCAGTCTCTGTTCACAAATCACCGACACACTTTTTACATTTTTCTTTCACAGCAGTAATATACTTTCTTACTAAATGTACCCCACACATATTATATATAGTTTTTTAGAGGACAGATAGGGCTATATAATTACCGTATTTTGCGGTCCATAGGACGCACCGGACCATAGGACGCAGGGAGGTCCGGCGCGCCTTATGGAGCACTCGAGACTGTAGCTTCTGTCACAGCTTCTATGAAAGAAGCTGTGACAGAAGCTGCAGTTAGTGACCGCTGAGACAGGTGGCGCTGTGATTACAGCGCCACGGTCTCAGTGATGACACAGAACAGGCGAAGAACGTCTATTCTTCGTCTGCTCTATGGTGATCTCAATCGTCGCCGCTGCTCGGCTTTAATACGGCATGCAGAGGGCCTGTTCACATGATATCCGGTCCTGATCAGGTGCGGATCTGCAGACTGATGCAGTGCGTTTTTGATGCGTTCAAGTAAAAAAAATAAAAAAATTTCCATTTTGCTGGAGTGGGGCTGTTAGTATGTTAGCTGCAGTGCAGTGCGTTTTGGATGCGTTTTTGATGCGTTTGTGGACCTGAAAAAATGTGACACGCAGTATTTTTTCTGTGGTAAGCTGAACGGACTGCGCACGTGAGAACTGGAGCCCATAAAACACAAAGGGATATATTGGGATGCATTTTGAGTGCAGCAGCGTACGGAGCCGGTCAGCACACAAAACGGACGTCGTGTGAACAGGCCCTAAAAGCTCTTTGATCAGCCCAGACAATCAGAAGTCTGATACATTTCACTCAAAAGATATACATTGTATCTCTTTGGTGAAATGTATCATAAACATCGGGCTCTACAGCTGTCAAAACGAATAGCAGAGAGGTGAGGTGAGTCACGCTGCTGCCTCTCTGCTATTTTCAGCTGTCAAATAAGGGATCGCTATTTAGCGGTCCCGTATTTGCATGTAACGGCTTCATTCTTTCATTACTGAAGGGAAGAAGCTTTTACAAAAGCTTAATTATTTCATCAATAAATGCCTCAATACTGACTCATCCATTAATGACTGGTCACTGCTGAGAATCGGCTGTTACCGGCATTACAAAGCCCGATATAACTCTTCACGTTCAGTGTACGTGGCCGGTCATATAGGCACAAAGTGCCGGGACGTACAGTGTACGTCTCCCGTCACGAAGGGGTTAAAGAGGAACTTTACCCAGGTCTTTAAAAATGGCAACAACGGCACCTTTTAGGGCGGCTTCTCACCATATTCCGGATCACATCTGGAGTTCCAGTGCATTCCAGACCAGACAAAATAAGACACGCAGTATTTGTCTGGTCTGGTGTGCACAGAGGCCAGAAATAGCATAGGGATACATTAGGATGCATTTTGAGTGCAGAAACAATCTGGTCTGGTCTGGAGATGATTCGAATGTGATGTGAACGGGCCCTTAGAAATGTTTAGTGATGACAATCTACAAACAGATTCATAGAGATCATTGTCGGCTTTTTATTCTTTTTTCTCCTCCCCATTCTTCTCACAGCGGCCATATTTACTAAGGGCAGGTTACTAGATCTCCCTTTACTTCCTGGAACTCTGGCACATGTGACCAGGACATCATCTCAGGGGAGGAAATGCCTTTCCCTGAGATATCGTGAGATTTCCAAGCAATGCTCTGCTGATGTAACCTTCCCAGAATGCAATGCTTGGGCACAGGCTAAATCACTGATGCCCAAGAGGACCAGGAAGTGCAAAAACAGTAATTTTAAGTAAATTAAAAATATGTTTATTTAACTAATCAACGAAAGATGATTTCAAATCGGCATGCAGAGCTGTATACTGATATGCTTGTTGGTGAAAGGGGGGAAAGGTCCACTTTAATTGGTTCGGCCCCTGCTTCAATGGTTCTCTAGCAAGATCACATAAAACACTGCCGCATTGCAGGAGCCAAACTCCACCCCCTTCTCTTCATCAAGTCTATAGAAACTATAACTATAGAAATGATAAGTATAAAAGGGGAAATAAAACAGTTGATCACTATTCTGACTCTATGCCCGGCCTGTATAAGCCGATTGTAACGGTCACCGCCGCATACCTTGATGATCGGGAGCCAGCCGCATCTCGGATCCGCCGCTGTGTTCCACAGTGGAACGCACGCTCGTCGCTTACGGGTTCGAAGGCCGGGTGCGTTCCACTCTGGAACGCGGAAGTGCGCCTATCCGTTCGGCGGCTCCTCCCCAAACAGTACAGCACTATATAAGAGCCCAGACGAGACAGCATGGCGTTCCACTATTGAGCCAGAACGCCTGCTGTCTCCTGGGACCCTCCATTGCCTCCAGCATACTCCTGCCTGCCTCCCTTCCTGGAAACCGGACCACTAAGGACCCACAGCTCTCCTCCTCCACTTCAACCCTCAAAACTGCAAGTATTCAGTGCTGTTGCACACCCTTCATTAGAGACTGTATAGGCTACCTGCTAATTGCATTGAGGCTTGTTACTTGCTTGGAACCTGGACTACTACTGTACTGTTTTGTACCTCTCCCATCTGCTAAACCAGTATATCCCTATTACTTTGGTGCCCTGGGGTAGGGCTTATGAAGAAATAAGCTCACTCTAAA